TATGCATCGATCAGAAGCTTCAGTAGACTTCAGTAAAGCTAAATTTGTAAAGAGGACGACATCTAATCACACCCAACGAATTTCGTCGACAGCTAATGATATGGAATTCTAAATGACTGCCAAATGGTGCGGAGCACAATAAGTGCGTATGAACAATCCCATGTTCTACAATTTGCTGCAAGTTGTACCTAACCCTTGAAGTGAGCTATAAAGGAAACCGTACATAACTCTCGGTCACCTGACAGTTCTACAATTATTCTATTTTACGGTATGTTATAAAGTAAAAATCGCCAAAATATTAAATGAGCTGAGGAAAGTCTGCCGCTGAAATCAGACCATGCTCTGTTGTCCAGATATTTAAGAAGGCTGCACATTACTTAGTGATGTTGGGACTAAATTTAATATCTATTAGAAAAAAACTCCTAATGTAGCCAGATGCACAATGGGTGGATTCGACAAAAAAGTGACATTTCGTTCATCCTGGACAGTGAAATTGGAGATAGCGTGTGTTCAATCAGGGTTTCCAAAAGTGGAAGTTTTTCCTTATTTTTTCGCATTACGTTGTAAAACACGTAAATGTCCATTCACGTTCATGGCTCCTGAGCATGAGCAAAAAATTTGTTTGCATTCCGTACAGCATTTGTATGCTCTTCACACAGAGTGGTACAACACCTCATCCTGAACAGATTCCTTGGAATTCTTAGATGTAGTTCGATGGCAAACGTTTTTTTCGTAAACATAAGCATCTTTCCAAGCTTGCCCATTTTTGGAAATCTTAATGTGGCATTAAAAAATGCAAACACCTACAGTAATCTTAATAGCCGTCCTAACTATTAAAACACAGAGGTGATGTGAAAGAGGAAGTGAAAAGTGTGATAACTATTTCGAATTTGATCATGAAACATTAATATAAGAGAAGGAGTAATTAATAACCACTTCCTTACCTTTAAGATAGAGTCGTGTAGATAGATGTAAACCACCAATTTTGAGTCAATTCGTTAGTATTGTTTTAAACGACAAAAAAATGTAAAAGTAGCACTCGCTTGTTAAAACGCTTCGACAGCATCTATCAATGTATTTTCTCAAAGAAATGGATTGGAAAATTTGACATATTCCCAATACCTTGTTTATCTCCCATTCCATGAAGCACGAATGAAGCATGCAGGGCCCGATTCGTTAAAGCGAACCACTCGCTTATTCATATTTAACTGTCACTTTCAATATAAACATAGAGAAGTTACGTAATTTTTCGAACTCGTCAACTTCGATTAACTAGTGTAAACTGTTGAGTTTCGCGTTTGCACTGGTGTCCATTTTCAACCTGTAGCTCTATTTGTTAAATAACTCGCAGCAAGTTGAAATAGTCTGTGTCACAGAGTGCCCCAGTTATAATCACTAAATATATGCAAAACTCTAAACTTTGATCTTGGTAGAAAATGCATGAGTGGAAGTAGTGGATACTACACTCGTTATTTACTTTAAATTTTCAATAAGATGTCAATATTCATGCTCATGGATCACATGGGCAGGATTCTGTGAAAATAATAGGTCCTGGTCCATGCATTCAAAGAATGCGAAGGAAGGCCTTCATCAGGAATAGCGCTGTAAATGACTTTTCACCGAGCTCACAGTCATGGTAAATCAGATAGATCCATTGATTTCCCAAGAGGAGTGAAACATGATTCCTCAGCACACTTTACTACTCCTTTATGCAAAGTACTGGATTCTCAAAATCAATCCTGTCAGTCAAAGGTAATGGAATACTAGGTAAATGGGAAAAAAAGAACTAAAGCAGTCTAACTGTAATTTCCAAAATAAAACATTTGTAATACGTTGGTCGTTTAACTCTCGGTATTAGTAAAGGGCCACTTCGTGCCATGACCACTGCACCTTTGTTAGATGTGTCGGCCTCTGGGCCATGCCAACAGCCCCAACCCCTTCTATAAGCTTAATCTACGCATTCTGCCTGCCTTCTTTTCTTTTCAGGGAAGTCTCGAGGGACTACAGCGAGATTAGTGTTATCTGGTTTTATAATATTGCAGATACTTCAACAACTAATGACTCTTTGTACACCTACCTTACTAAAAAATGATTTGGACTTAGTTGGAAGAAGCACGGTTAGCAGAAATCAAAAAGTAGCAATTTCAAATGTGAGGCAATTTACAAGAAAAATATTGCAGCATGAAAAACACACTAAGAGTTTGGACTAGAGCATACAGAAAAAACTTCGACAAGTTACCTCTTAGTAGGGGATCCGAGCCTAACTCTGATTTATTGTGTCTAATTTTACTTAGTTCGTCTCTTATCATACGATAATTTTAATTAATATCCTCTTTTAAAATTATCATTCAAATATCAATAATATATTCATGTTTGTTTTAGAAGTCTGGCAAGGGGTAAAGTGGATTTATGATGCTTTAATTTCTCACCGCGATCATATGGGATGTCCTTGAGTCCTTTTCAAGGTAAAATCTGTGCTGACCTTCTAGGTCATTGGCTAATGGGTTTGTTCATTCTGCTCGCGCTGTTTCATTTATCATGACAAAATGAACTCGGATCAGCTGTGTGTAGTTTGTATTGTTGATGGAAACTTATCAGCTCGAAAAGATGCTGTCTCTATTGGTGGAAAAGGAAGTGCTATTTCCGCCGTGATTCAAGCATGCGAAGCGTAAAAGCCCGAGTTCTTCAAGCTTTTTAGAATTAAGGCAAGGGTTCAGCATTACACATTTGATCAAATCAGTAAGAATAATACAGAAGTTCTTGACGCGTTGTATAATGCCGAAATCTTGGTTATTGATATCAGTGGATGGGTATGTTTGTGCTCGTGAATGCATGTTGTTTAGAAAGAAATCTCGGTTGTTCTTTATCACTTGGGTGTTCGCGAAAGCGTCAAGTCAACTGTAAACCTTGTTTTAGTTTGCGCTGATGATGTGGATCTTGTGAGAAGCCTACCAGTAATCTATGCTCCTGGTATATTAATCCTATTTAGCCTTTCGAGGAGCCGAATTTATTGCTGCCTTATGTTAAAGATGAGGAGGGTTGTGCTCGCTATGTAGATTCTGGCCGTTTAAACTTGCTAAACGGAGAAGTGGCGAACGTAAAGGGGAAGATAATGGGAGCTCTTCCTTTATTGTCTTCCCGACTGAAGGAATGCTTCATGGATGCGCAGAATGAAACCAGGTACTATACCATCAAACATTTCATTCCTCACTTTTTTGCAGCACTTTGATGCCACTGAGCTGAACTCTATTGATTTGTACACTTTTAGACTTCATCTTTCCTGTCAGTTTGTTAAGGAATTGCGAGTAGACCGTGAGACACTAAAAGACGACGAACTCCGCGAGGTGAGCTCACATTGTCGTTAAATAACTTGTATTTTAATGGTAATTTGTGATTACTACTGGCGCCATATACTCAGTTGTTTGTTTAGGGGTCCGTAATGTAACTGATTTAGTGCTAATTAATGCAAATGACAATGTTCTTTTTCAGAAGTTGCATAAGATGCGACGTCGTCTCGATGACCCAAGACTTCTCTCCCCGGATAGTCTTCTTAACATGTTTCTTTCGTATATGCATGTTGAGGTTTGTGTTATTCTGAAGTATTTGAATTTATCCACAGATTTTAAAGTGGCGACAGTGCATTATGTTAACATGCATCATGCTATTCGAAACGTAGGTTTCATGTCTAATAAAAACTGTTTTAACTAAAGCTATTTTTGGATTTTCCAAGCAAATCGTACGTTAAGTCTGATTCTTGTAAAATAGAGATGCTTTGGCATAGGGAAAATTTAGTTGTTGCGCTCTTCCCGTTGGTCATCAAATTTACTTTTTTCTAATCGTCGGGGTCTGATAAATTGCACTTATTTTTACTAGTGAACGAATCATCTGGGGATTTGACATCCTGTTTTTTGAAACCATTACATGTTTAGACACTTGCCATTACGTCAATGTATGCATTTTTGGGTCGCGTGGAAATCCACTTGAGCTTTATAACTGTTTACTCGGTCTGGGAGTTGCAAAGGCCGTGCGGAGCTGTGTGAACCTTGAGTCTCTCGTTGATGCCTGCACTTGAGACGTTAAACCGTCTTGAGCGCTTAGCAATGCGAACAAAACTTACCACACCTTACCATCAAGTGCCCACAAAGCCAAATTTTGGAGGGCATATTCAGTTAAGATGGCGGTTTTTTAATTATTTTTACAACTACAAACTTATTGGGATATCATTTCAAAATCATTTGGGCTTGCGAAAGGTATTGAGGCAAATTTATTGAGCAATAGGTAAACAGATTTGTACTCTTGTTCTAACGTAATAAACGTACATCCTAAGCTTCCAATGGTAATTCCTAATTGCACTTTACACAGACATCAAATTCATGAAAAGTTAATTATATACTTTTGAAAATGGCTGTTGGGACTTTGATCTTTTGCGCCAATCATTTATTTATAGTTCATGTTCTTATTGATGTGGGTAGGCTTGTTTCAGGATTCTTATAGTCAATCGCTACAGAATGCCCACTCTTCTCAAATGCTAGCGGTGTCGGCTATATAAATATGTATTAGGGAAGCATAAAACACTTTTTTAGTCGTTTGAATTTCTCGGAGATGTATTAGAATTCAGGTTAGGTATATGATGTCGTACCGGAAGTGCCATGGAGGTGGCACTCCTAGTATGTGATTAGTTGTAATTTTTCACCTCCCTAGACATGTTTACCTCGATTATCTGGTAAGCAGGGGAATCTAAGAAAATACCAATATGCTCCAGAGAGGATTGCGATATCTCATTGTTTATCTAGAGGCTACAAGTGTTTTCATCACTGTTTTGTTATTATTTTCCTCCCATTAATATTCCAATGTTCGGAATTTACAATTTCATGGAGTAGATTTCGCATACCTTATTTACTGTCGAGTACTGGATGATGTGTTGTGATTGATGCTGCCTTTTCCCCTTTCCATGATTGGTAAATGTTTTGAGGGATCATGAAATCGCTCTATGCTGAGTCGTTGCATGTTTGCATAGTCCTCATTTTGTTTGTAGGCCTATTCGGAAATGATAAGTCTCATGGAGGCCATTCAGGGACTCGAAAATTATCAACACTTGCTGGAGCCCCCTAATATCCGCTACTACTATGCATTCGCTCTTAATCGTCGAAATGGTAAAGGCGATCGTGAGAAGGCACTGAGCATCATCAAGGATGTAGGTCAATTGTTCCTTGCTTAATCTTATAAAATTTGTTCAATCCTACATTTTATTTTCTGCCCCTTCAAATATCTCATTTGAATAATCTTACATTAATTAAGTGAACAGCGATTGGATATGTCAACTGGGAGAAGTCTATCAGTGTGTTTTTTGATCTATGCAGGTAATCGAGAACTGTAAGCAACCTTTCCCCGATCTGTACGGTCTAGAGGGTCGGATATACAAGGATCGCTTTGTGGAATCAAACTGTACTGACCGTGAATCCCTCGAGAAGGCCACTGAGAGCTACCGAAAGGGTTTTCAAGAATCGTCGAGCGAATATCTGGGCATCAATCTGGCAACACTACTTGTGATCGGAGGAGCTGACAGAAGCAATAAGGAGTTGGCCACCGTCTGTAAGCATCCATTTCTTACCATCACAGACTTGTTTTCGTGTGCTATCAAACTTGCGCAAAAGGGAGCAAATAGGGAATAATTGATGCTATGAATGGTGAAATCATAGCTGCAGCTGTAGTTGATACGGAACACAAGGTTTTCCACTGAATTTCAGGAGTTCACTGTATTTACTTCTTCCTGTTATTCTCAATACCCGTGTATTTGAGGAGCTCTGTGTTATAAGATGCTCTTTCGCTTTTCAGGATCGCGAATTTAAGGGTTGATGGTGTGAGGTTAAACTTGGCGACATGAAGTATCCTGCAGACTCTAGAATCGCGTAGTTAATGAGTTGTGATGATGACATTACGCCATTTACCACATGTCACGTACTGTGGTGGGGCAGGAGAGATTTCACCTAGTAAGATGCTGTCTAGCCGTTTAATTAAGGTTGATACAACCTAATTGCGGCTGCGTCTTTCCATTTGCTGTGTCGCTAAAATGTATTTGCAGACGCTTTGAATCGGCAAATTAATCAGAATTCGAACTACAGCCAAGTGCTCCTGTGGGATTTACAAATGTGCGTGAACAAGATTGTTGCGTGTCAAGGTATACGTTTGATCTGATTTTGATGGATGGATGACTTCATCTCCGTCAAGTCGGAAGGTTAGTTATAGATGTTCTTCAAATCGTCCACGATTAGTATCGGCTTCTGTGCGTCAAAATGTTGGTAGTTTCAGTGTTAGAGCGCACCACATCCTGCCCAGAAGATGATACCCAACACAGTCTACTTTATCGCAACGTCTAAAACAGTGCTCTATTTTACTTCTCATGTTAACTTTTTGGGGTCAAGGTGTCTGACTTTTATGCTTCCTATCTGTGCACGTTGACTCCTGGTCACTATTTTTTTGCTAAATGCTTCGTCTAGACAATTATTACCACACCCGATTACCTTCACACAATGTGCCCGATGGAAATGTCTATCCAGGTGTTTGAAATATAAAAATATAAAAGTTGGGATGTTATGCATCCGTTTCAATATTCGCAATAATTATTAGAAATATTCTGGATATCCGCTTATCCTCTAGCAGACAATTTAAATTCACTTCAATTTCTTCGTTGGCGCTCGTAACACCTGTCACCGTAGTACACGTTTTTTTTCTAACGTCTGTGCATTGATATGCTTTCCTATTGTGTTTTAAGCCCGGAAGCTCTATCCTTAGGAGTACAATCAGTACCTCACAAACCATCAAATAGGTTGCCTACCTTCACGATTATTGTGGGTTGCAAATGCCATACGCATACACAAGCCTGGGTATGTAGTCACCTTGTCCTTTCACCATAAATGCCACACTAACCTGTATTTCTGAAGATATTGCGATTTGTGTGCTCTACCACTGCCTGAGTATAATTAGGATAATATTGCCTTTGGCTGAGGTAATCCATCATACCTTAGATTAATAACTTGGTTAATTCGAGGTAGCTTGTAAAAGGTAATGCAGATTACAACCATTCACAGGATTTTGCAAGGTCGTTAAAGTGCTTTTGATGGAGAACAATTCCAAAGATTGTTTTTGCCAATTTTGACGTTTGACAACCACATGAGCACCTTCTAGTCATGTGAACTATACGGAGTGCTGCCACTTCTGATGAGGCCTTCTTCTAGGCATGCATTAGTTTTAAAGGATTTAATTGTATCCTTCTTCTCACGTCGAGAGGTATTTTCTTACTATCCGTCTCAGTACATCTAGCATTTATCCTGAAGCATAATAAGACTCCTGCTTGTGTCTGAGATTTGTGTACGGCTACATATCTCCATGGCAGCTTGACTTCTTTATGGTTTTTTAATACACGCCCAATGGGGTTTTGCGCTAGGAGTGCTAGAATATGTTATTCGCATGGGGATAAAACTCACTTCTCTTTCTATTCACGTCAGGAATACTTTTTGTCGTGTTGGTGCAACATCTTCTGTGATCAGTTTGTTGGGTCAATGTTCTTTTGACGCATTGCTTCGCGGTAAATGAGCCTTACCCAAAGTAGGCTATATATTTTCGGCGCTGTTTGACAAGGGATGCGGGAGCTCCGGGCTTGCTACTTCAAAATATCTCTAGCAAGCCCTCACAACAACCGTCTGCTTCCAGGCTTGCAGTTTCACGTGCTGCCAATGAGATCGGGCCAATATTTTGTCAAACCAAAACTCATGGTAGATATGCACTTTTTTGGGATTTTCGGTAAGGAAAATCTAACGGTGGCACAGAAGTTGCCCGAAGGCTACACAATTTTGGGAAGAGCCTGATGCCGAAGTTGTCGTAGTAAAAAGATCTCTCTACTCCAGTGTCAATTAAAATTGATAAAGGTATAAGCCGTTGGGATCAATTATAAAGTTGTTTTCATCAGCGCGTGGTGATGAAATCGTTTAGCCTCTTTTTGATGGGGTAAACAAGTCTTTGGGCAATAAAGTGCAGGCATGTCGACTCTGAATGCACGAAATGTCAAAGTTGGTTATGGTTTCGTGTATTTTCTGTGCGGCTGAAAATACCACGATAGCATCGGCTGAAGGCGTACTTTGATATGGAAAGTGGGAAATCGAAGGATGTTACGGTTTTGCCATTTCGAGTTCAGTAATAGACGGACACTTGTCACATGAACTAGACGTCGTTCCAAAGAAAATGACCCATGCGGAAGGTTTGGCTTTCTTCGTTAATGATGGATATTGTCATTGGATTTGAATTAAATGTCACTTTGTTACTAAGTAAACGGCGTGTCCCTTTCAAATGGCATCGTTTTTCGGCATTTTGCTGTAATTACAACGCACATGATTCCTTCAGTCACCCACTTATGTTTTGTTATTTAATCAGGCAATATGCTGTATATTAACGCGGGCAGAAAGGGTAATCTCCAGGATCTCCAGGACTACTGGGATGTGGCAACTTTCTTTGAAGTGTCTGTCCTTTGGGCCGACTACGCAGGGGCCGTAAAAGCGGCTAAGTACATGCACAAGCTGAATCCGCCTTCGTGGTGAGTAATCGCTTATTCGCCCCCCATTATCTATTAGGTCCGCATTCTAGATATGACTGGCTAGTTGAAGACGGGCGAACTCGTGTTCCTCCAGTTGACAAACACTAACCACTGCTCTTCGTAGACCTTATATCAAAATAACCACCTTCAGTGACCTTGGGGATGAACTTTATGTTCTGAAAATAAATAAATGCTGCAATCAGATTGGATTCGCTCCAAGCTGTGTGGGGAAGTGATTTCCTTGCTTTTAAATAAAAGAAGAGTAGTTAAAAACTTAATCACGGATTATCGAATTCAAAATCATGCACATAACAGGAAAGCTTGTGTATTGCAAAAGAGGTCATGTATGGGCAATTCACGAGCAACGCCATTAGCTTACCGATCTTGCAGTTTCATATCAGTGGGGCGACCTATACAGTGCCAGCGTAGTAAATTACGGGAGGAAGCACCTTGTGTATTTCGTGAGCAGTCAAAGTGTTCTGTTTATTTCTAATCTGAATCCAACTTATGCGCAAATTTTACTGTTTTTCACCATCTGCAGCGCTATCCATGATCCAAAGTGTAGTCGTCCATTGCCAGATTAGACTGCAGTCGTTCTTACTGCCTATTAACTGGTGCACTTGATCACAATTTTTGCTATTTTTACAGCAGACTATTACAGTTGCATCGCAATTGTCGCCTTAATTGCACAAATCAACATGATTAGTGCATTTGGGATAGTCATATTTACTGTCATGCTGTTGGATAGAGGAAATTCTACTGTACGTTTTTTCTCCTTCATCTACTTACCTTTACATTGATCGATGAAAACGAGCAACCGTAGGTCGGTGTAGAATCTCGGTCGATGCGAAATTGCTTCTGTTGAGCATATGCCTGTGTTCAGTTGCCACGGTTATTGCGGTTGCTATAACAATGGATACTCGCGAACTAAACTAATTCCTGAGTTCGACGTTATTTACCGAACGCAACTGGAAAAGGGGGTTTTGAGGTTTTTCGCACAACCTTGTTTTGAGATTATGAACAGGTTTGAGGTGTTTGAAAAAGTCAAAAAAGTGTCAGTCTGCTAAAATGTATATATGAAGTGCTCAATGATCGTATATTTTCCCATTTCTCATGTAAAATTAAAAACATCATTCCTGCTTGCTTTCCAGGCACCTGGGTTCAACATTAAGAAACATTCGACTGATTTTGCGAGCTCGGAGGATTAGGGCAGACACAACAGATAAGGATATGGAGGTAGATCCTCATATGCCTCTGCATCATCAGTCTTTTGTACAGCCAAGTCTAGCGCATTTTTCGTTTCCCTATTTTAGCTTTTCAACTTCTGGTTGGAGTTCTTTCACGAGTGCATCCAAAATCCCGGTAAGATGGGCGCAAGCGCCAGTCCAATCTCGCTATTTGCCCCTGATCTATGACCTCACTGTACCTACATCTTTAGAGTGTGACGACACTGCATCCTAGATTTTCCGTTGCTATCAGCGTCATCCGAAAGGGGATGAAGTCATTAAGCATGTGCTTGTCACTAACGCAGTCATTAAAATTCAAGTCCTGTCTTTTCCTAACTGTTACAAGCCAATTTTCCCTTCAGTAATTGTCCAGCAAGCAAATCTTATTTCATAGTGCCCTTATAACAGAGAACTCTACGGATTGTAAGTTTAGGGAAGTCTTAATGCCCAGTCGAACAAACTTCTTCATTTCGAATTTGTGTCGGATGACCTTCATGGTATCTTCAAAGAAACTACAAGACATGACTGATACGTTGTCCCCTGTATCGGCAGACAATATTCATGTTAGCTGAATGACCAGAGTCTGTAGTAGCTATAAATGTTGTTGCACCTGGTTGTTCTTCGTGATGAATGCTACAATCGTTAGTTGGAGACTGCTTGAATTGTACGTGGTCTCTGGAAAACTGCAAGACTAACTTATCAGCTATTTTTCATCTCACATCCTTTTCGCATTGTACCTGAGCTTAGTTTCAATATGTAATTCACAACTTAACCTTTCATTATTATTTATGTAAAAAAGGCAGGACTTCAAAAGTTTACTAATATCTTTGCTTTTTTTGACACCAGCAGCAGTTATTTTGAATTGGCGAGACTAACATTCTTAAGTTTTGCGATTCATATTGCTGCGCTTAAATGTGAAAGATGATTTCAACACCTAAAGAAATACTAGCTTCTGGGGCGAGTTTCACAGTCATTAAATATTCGTTTTTAGAAACCAAAAAAAAGTTATCTGAGGGTTTAAAGGGTGATGAGGAAGGTGATAATGAAAAGAAGAATCAAGCGGTAAAATCCGAGGAGACATCGGCGGCCGAAGCACCATTGCGAATCTACTTTCCGGTGCTGCTGGTGGACATGAGCGGTGAAGAGTTGAGACCCGCCCATCTCCACATCCACGCTCACTCGGACAAGCCGAACATGCGCGTGTGCTACATCGAGAGCGGTCAACAGCCACCTCCGAAGACCTCCACACATCGCGCTGTCACCCCCATGGTCTTCACGTTCGCGGAGGAGAACGGTACGGAGAATGGCGAATCCGCACCACTTTCTAACCTCCGGCTCAATCCAATCTACGACCTCGTTTTCTATGAGGATGATATCAAGGGGTTTAGGTGAGTTATGAAAGTTTGATTCGCGTGACAATAAGAATGTAGTAGAATCTTTCATTTCCCCAATTCCCCAGTTATTCTTCGTGACCTTGGTTTTCATCTCAGCAATTCGTCTGGCTACTGCCAAACGGCACCTCCGTGCGGTTCTGTCAACTGAAAAGCAAACGTGTTTACAGTGTTATGGCGTCAAAGTCAATTGCAAAGAGGAAATTCCCCAGTACAAATGCTAAAACGGTTGAATGTTTAAACTGAACCAAATCTGCCATTTTTGGGGGATGTATGAATTAGTTCTTTGTCAATGGAGTGCGCATCTGTAACTGTTTAGTAGGACCTATTTTTTCGTAAACCTGATTTGTTGGTGAATTGGCACGTGTCATTGATCTTCAGATCACTTGAAACGGGGCTGTTGATACAGTTAAACGGTTCCTCTAGTGTTTGCAATTAACCACACCCGAAACACACTTTGGCACTGCATAGGAAACTTCGTTGTTTGCACAATTTCTAGCCTCAATCCAAAGGATAAGCGAAATCTCTACTTCTTCACGGTTCAAGCGGAGGATTATTCCATCTTCTTTCCCTGTGAACGCTCGCGAACTGAGTATGTATTTGCCCATACGTGGATGAGTATAAATTGTTTTCAAACTTTGCCTGATTTTTAATGGTATTGTATATTTTGTATTTGGGGTCAAAATTAATAGTATGCTTATTCCTCAAAATGAAATTCCTTGAACATGTACTCCATAATTATCTATTTTGTTAATTGTCCCTATGGAACGTGGGAACTTTTTTAAATGTTTGCCTTTTAATATGACCGCCCTTCTCACTTAGATTTCTAGCTGCCATTCGAGCTTCGCTCTCGGAGTCTGATAATTACCTCTTTGATGAACACGAAGATGACGAACCTATTAAGGTACTTTCATTCTATGCGCTAATTCATGCGCCTAAGCAGCGATGTATTTGTTAAATTCACTTTTAATTCCTTACCAATAACATGTCCAGCATAGATGCGGTAAAATCAAGGAGGTTGATTCTCCCGATTACCATGCATATGGTCACTGCTTTGCGAGTGCTTTTATCAGCAAACCAATTTTACATCTCAGACTCATACGTGTGAAGATGATGTAAATGGTAATTGACTTTAATTAAAGTGGTTTATGTAGGAAGTTTCTACTTTTAAGTTTCATGTTACTTTTCATTGCATTTACCTCGGATGGTGTCATCTAGACACGTTTCACTTCAAATTCTTTAACACAGTTGGTCTTTCTGTAGTTGTGAGTTTCAATTCTTTTTCATCTTAATCTACCAAAAATTTGTGAAGGTGTTTTTTTTTCTTCATTTAAAGACAAATGGACCCTACGATCTTGAAGATTCTGGTTTTGTTATAATACCTTTTTTTCAAATTCTTTAGGTATTCCTTAAGTAATTTGTACTGAAGTTCATAGAAGAGTTGTTTTTACTCTCATTGGTTATTAACCGGCATTACCAGTCCTTTATACTTATAGCGGAACAGCCCATGGAAATTGTTTTTAAAGAAGCCTACTGTTTAAAGTTCATTTGTACTCTAAAGTTAGTAGAAACTCCTTTAGCGTAAAACTACCGACGGCACTATTTGAAATATGAAAAATACTTAGAGCCTTCAATATACTGTTGTTTCACGCTATTTTCACCAGAGATTTATCGACGCCGAGCTTCGACCACAGGTAATTTTAATGCCATAAATCAATCGCGCCCTACTTAGTAAAATAAAATTAAAATTTTAGTTTGTCTACGAATTCGATGAAAGCGGTCATCCAATTGTCCTCGGTTCAGGAAGCTTTGGGACAGTCTACGCTGGTCGGGAGCTTAGCAGAGAGGTCAAGATTGCCATCAAGGAGATTAAAAATATTCCCCAAAAGTGAGTTACTGCGATGACACTTGTTATTCACATAGCAATTTAACACTTGCGGCACATTTTTAATCGCTTTCATTGTTTCCGATAGAGATCTTCAACCGCTAATTGAAGAGATTAATCTTCAATCGCGTCTCAATCACACCAACATCGTCTGTTACCTCGGCTCAGTGTATGAGGATGGAGTCCTGAAAATTCTCATGGAGCATGTTCCTGGAGGTGATTTGCATTTAAAATTTCGTGCGACTTAGAACACTCACATGGTTTGTCTTCATGTCTGCCACCAACATGTTGATGCGATAAAACGAAGCACTGATGTAACTCACAAACGCGCATAAATTGTGGCCTCCCCACCTTAGTGAATAATGATTTCTGGTGCTGGATTAATACTGCTGGGTCATGAGGGAGGTCGTTAACTTTTCAAAAAAGGATTTTTTCTGGAAAATTAAACTATTGCAACTGGAAGAGCATAAAAATAAACACAATGAAAACCAGACGTAAGCTGCATGAATTTTGCGCTACAAGTCATGATTCATTGACCTTTTAGTTATATTTTTATTGCACCTATTATTTATGCTGCAATGCTCTCTTTGCATCATCTTTCCAGGGTCGCTTAGCTTTCTCCTGAAGAAAATTGGCAGTTTAAGAGACGAAACGGTTTCGCATTACTCCAGTCAAATCCTCGAGGGTTTGCGCTACTTGGTAAGAATGACGTCCATTGGGTGCCTAGTGCAGGCTCCTAGGCATTAGCAATAAGGTACTTAATATGGCAATCGACGTCCTGTTTGAATGCTTTATAACATTTGTTCCATTTTTGCATGAAATTTTAACAAAATGCAAGCTATATAATACCATCTTTTAAAGAAACCGAGTTTATCTAAACCTGTTACCTTCATACCAAAGCTTCATGTGGTAAAATGTAACTCTCTTCTGAAAATGCTTCTTTATTTATGCACTGGTTCTTGAGTGTGTTTTTATGCTTTCATTTGAAGTTCTCCCTGTAATCAACTACAAATGTCACGAGCTTGAGTTTTACTTCTGTTAGGCTGCTTCTCTAGTGCACAATTCAGTTCCATTTGGCTGCTTTGTGATAAAAATTTACTCAATCAACACGATTAACCTCCATGCGAGAATACTGAGTCTGTGTGAGGCTTCTTTTCTCTGTTTAAAATAATTCCTTATCCACTTATTATCTAAATAGATACTTCTTGATTTTGCGGCTACTAAATGATTAAGACATTAAAATACTGTTATCGTTTTATTTACTGGCGCTGAGCTGTGGTTGTAATGTACATTGTGACCTTAACTTTTGGTTTTGTTTCAACTGCAATGAAGGTTGTGTTTTGTTTTAAGCAGAAAATAAGATGCTTTTAACTAATAACTTCTCTGTGCCACTTTTAGCATGCCAGCAAAATTGTGCACCGAGACATTAAAGGCGACAATATCTTGGTTAACATGTATAGAGGAGAACTGAAAATAGCCGATTTTGGTGCCTCAAAGCGACTCGGTGGTCTCATCAGAAAGGCTGGCACAGTCACGGGTATGCCTTTAAGCTACGCTCATACGGTCCTACTACTCCCACAAGCGATTTTGGCAAAGAATTCTGTCACATTGATGCAGTAGTCATTTAAGTGATTGGTTAATTGTTGTCAGCATTCACATCCACCAGGCACTCAGGTGTGGGTGAATTCACCTTTAAAATATTTCAGTCGCATAAGGCTTTAATACTTGCTGCATAGCGCGCTTCATAAAACTCACATCTATTAACCCTGTAAAATCCTGTACATACCTGAAACGACAATAAGTTTACTCAACAGCGTACACATACAGACACCTTATCACAACACGCTAGCCTCTTAAGCACTATAAGTTCAGTGTTGGTGCTGCTGCATGGCATTACATTTTGTTGATAAAGTGCTTTGAATTTGCATAGCTGAATGAAACCTGTCTTTGTCTAATTACGTTTGTTTATATTGATATTTCTATGGTTCTTTCTCGGTAAAAATGAGTTCTTTATTGCATTCTAATTTCAGTTTGTAATAATGTGTTGCCTCTACCGCAGGTACCATGCGTTTTATGGCTCCAGAGCTCATTAACGCATCAAAAGATGGCTACGGCTATCCTGCCGATATATGGAGTTTTGGTTGTACGGTTGTAGAAATGGTGACAGGCAAACTCCCCTATCATGAGGTATGAGTTTGGCGATGCTTTTGTTTCTTCTTTGCTATGCAGTGAGACGGTCTTTCACAAGCTTTGAATTCGCTTTGTTCTGCATAGCTTGATGCGTTCGCAGCTTTTTATCGGGCGGGCTACTACAGCGCACATCCGGACATTCCAGAAGAACTGCCAGAACCTTGCAAAGCATTTATCAAACGATGTTTCGAAATCGATCCCGAGAAGCGAGCAAGTGCTGATGAACTTCTCACCGATCCTTTCATTCTCATGTGCGTTTATTTTATAAAAGTGTTTCTAAGACCCTAGTGGGCTCTTTCTCAAGTTAACCCCAAAACTCAAGTGCCCATACGGGTTGGTGGCCTATTGCATTGGGGCTGGTAAACGCCCTATTCACGCGCAAATAAATCCCGCAGGAGGCAGTCGCTTCCTCATGCTTGCTCGTGACACCGGCAGCCAGAAAGTACGAAGACAAGCCTATGTCTTTGTGGGCGTGGGATGCATCGTAGTCTTTTGACATTCATCTTCGTACAAAAATTGTTGCAAGCGGTCAATGTGACTAATCCATTGGGCTATTACTAGATCGAAATCTGATTCAACGATGCTGGCAAAGCTCTCACTGTTGAGTGCTTCTACAATCATATCATTATTTTGTACAGTGGTACGTCGCCACCATAAATTGTGTACAATAACTATTCCAATTTGGGCAGCGTTGCTGTCAGTAGTAATAATCGGTCTGTATAAACCTTAAATGCTCAACTTAATCTAACAGTGTGTCGAATAACCGCCTGCTAGTGTGCTGTACCGCCCTGTAAGTGGAGTGATGAAATAAGAAGGACTGTTTCGTCAATTGCTGCGCCAAAACAAAATTGTGGGATTTATTCTTCCTGGTTCTTAACAGAAGCGCACTTTACCTCCCCTGAGGTGTAGGTTTACGGTGCCTGGTTGGGGCCAAGTCATTCACTGCTTTAGTGCGAGTTGATACAGCCTGAGGTAACGGAATTTAGGGTTCACCGGCCTTTGGCTGTTTGTGCTTGCATGCAGGCAGGCAGGCAAACAAGAGTTGCATGCGATTGCATGTATGTGCGTGTGCATAGTCGGGAAGCGCTAACTGCAACCCATGATCTAGGGGTGACCTCACATGACCCCATGGATAGACGAGAAAGCATCTGTCAACCCCCATTAAAACCGCCGTTGCGCCTTCATTCACTGGATGATTTGGTGTCGTTGTTTATAGCCCTCTTGTCAAAACATGTGCCCGTCTTCCATGTGATTTTGATCTTTCTGTTTATTTTATTTCCAACGCAACTTAGCTTATTCTTCCACCACGAACGTATGACTCTTTCATAATCAGTACGTGCAGGCAATTCGTACTACACGGCAACAGTAGATTAATTCTGATCTTGTTCATTGTGCAAGCTGCGAAGATTTAAATAAACGCTTTCATTTGTGATCACACGCATTGTATGTGCCTTTGTACAGATTTGCCTACATGGGGTGTGCATTTATGTATATTTTCTTCAGTCTTTCCAAGGCCAAGTAGCTTAAATTTATTTGTCTATTTCGAATTGAAATTCCTCCATCGGTTTATTTACTATGAATTGTTTTTCTTTTTGGCGATGTGGATTGGCTGTTACAGCTAGATTCGAGAAGTTAAAGTAGAGTCAAATGCTTGATGACTTTCACTATTAATGAAAAGTAGCACAGCATTTAACATATCTACTTAATGTCTGTAGGTGGTCCAATTCAATAAACGGGCTCCATGAGCTAATTTAACGTTCTCAGTCATTTTGATTGACTTCTTACAATCAGGAAACGTGACCGGAAGAAAAATAATGGGACAATTCAGTTCTACGCATTCCTGCTTTTTGGTCTAAAACGAAACTTTTGCACCTTATTAAAAGCTTAAGCATCTGCGTAGAATTTAATGAAAACATTCCTGGTATAAGCTCAAGGTTAAAGTTTTGAATTGTGCTTTTGATCTCTGTCTTGCTGTAATGATATGCCATTCCCTAATTACCACGAGCTGTTTTCATTCTGTTGTTTTAATTCACCTGAATGAAGCTATGAAAGCCTTTCACTGTATAAAGTGGATTAAACTTGTCAGAACACAGTACCTGAAGAGGTCGAATTCGTATGAAATTAAACTGTATTCCTACTTTTGGTTGCTGGCAGACTATTTCACTTTAGCAAGCGAGACTTCAGTCCGATATCATCTAACGATGGCTATAAACACACGCAGTGACTGTCTACAAGAATGCAAATCATTGACTCCTAATGTTTGTACTCTTTCTGTCATCGTTGGGGTCTGGCTGCGGTTGCCGCTCTTTATTGACTATGAGTTCACATTTTCAAGCAAAAACGATTATAAACGTGATCATTCAGTCGGTTATGATCCTTTATTCATCTAGCGATTACTTGGCCTTTTACGAATAAGTATATTAATGGAAGCGGTTCGCTTTGAATCTAGAATCACTGCCATGGCAATGACAGTGGGTACATTGTGTTCTGCCGACTTTTTTCTGCTCTTAAATTTCGTCATTTTTGAACTATTAGTACTGGCTTCAGGAGGTCGTGAATTTCGACAATCATTGTAGTGGTGTAATATGTACAAAACCGCCTGTATTTGCATGGGTTTAGGTAAGAAATGCATCACTTTTACGCAATGTTGAATTGGGTGCGATTTTCAAGTGTGCCGGTTGGTAGTCTTAGGACCGTTCATGCGTAAATTTTGGCGGTAAATTTGCGGCAGTTGAGCTACGCTGTGCATTCTTCAGTGATGGTTTTATTGTGGTAAAGTAGTAAACTTGCAAAGTGTTTCAAATACCTTAATTGTCTCTCATACTCAGATTCAAATCATGCATACGGACCTACATGGTGCTACTTTATGATTAGCCTCATTCAATAGCAATTCATAATCCCTATCTAGTCCTAAAGCAATAGATTTTCATACTCCTTTAGTATTCTATTCGCAGTTGAGATCAGCTTACATTAGTTTTCGTATTTCAAATATTTTCACACCAAAAGTTAAATTGATATTCGGTCCATACGTAAATAATGACCACAATTACTGTGTAATCCGTACAATTGGGATCGCGAATGGAATTTTTGAAATACTTCGGTTCGATTTTCAAATCAGCACTGCATATTTTGATTCCTTCTTAATTGACGATGGATACTGCGGTATCTCTGGCCGATGTAGCGGGATGCGTAGTTAGGTTTCATCTGCTGGTAAACCGATCACCCCGCACTTCTCTGTGTGGAGAGTATCTGGTATCACGATTCGCTGCACGATTGCTCAATTCTTGCATGTTCATTCCCTCTAATCCATTTAGGCCCTTACCACATGCCAGCGTGGTTTTTGAAAAGATTTCTATAGGGTAGGCATCAGTTCGCCTTACTCTGAACTTTTACTTGCAGTCCTCTTTCACAGTTCGTAGGCAACTTGCGTTCATTGTAACTAAATTAAGCGTAGGTTAATAATACTAGCAATGTTCTTCGAAAATTGCCAGTGGGGTTTTATTTTCGCTCTCTTTTTAAATTAGTTGGCGATTTGATTCCTAATTAGTGTATGCAAGGCGGCTGCGGTGTTTTAATTTCCTCAAGTATCTCAACGGTCACAGATCCCATCGTGACTCTAGTACCATGGGATGTGAGTATTTATCCTACAGAAAGTTGGCAAACTATGGATGGTTAGTTAAAGAATGCGATTTGGCACTCATGGTAGACATACCCCTCTATCAAATCGCCATTGCGTTGAGTAAAACAGGGTAACATTTAAAATTTTGGTAATGAACAATGCTACTTTCACTTATCGCCTGCACAATTCAACTAACAAAATGTGTTTTAATGATTTTGCATCAAGTATTCCCTGACTGTTATGCATTATTTTGTTTTCCATCAAGTTTTGTCTTGGATTTAACTGGTACAGTACAGGGAGGTGATGAAATGTAACCTTTAGTAAGCTTATCCTGTCATTAATCAGTAGAAATGCGGCTTTTATCCTAGCAAAGCGAGTGGGAAATATTCTTGCGCAGTGTACTAGTTGTTCTGCACGTGTTTGTGTTGATATTTTATTCATTGTTGAAAAACATTGTGATTTAAATCTCAACGTGAGTCTGTTGCATAAAACTACTATTAAGATTCTAAAGAAAATTTGTTCTTTTTTGCAATCTTACCCGAAGCACTGAACATTAAATTGCATTATATATTCTCTTTCAATTAGTATTCGTGGATAAGTTCTTCAGGTGCTGTTCCCTGTTCACTTTTTCATAAATAAGGTCTTCTGTACTGTGCATTATTTATAACCGAATGCCCTCTTAGGACACATCCATTTAATTATCATTCATATTCATTTATTTTAATATTAGGTACAAAAGGCACAAGGGCAGACCTCAGGCAAAGAGAGGTACCTCACGTAAGTACTTGTGTAACTTATTTTATGTCAAAATATATTTACTTTCACCTTGTCATTTTTGCTCATAATTATTCCACCTTGAATATATTTCTGAAATTCTTTGATCAAGAGCACTTCTTCACAAAGCGGTTCGAATAATCACTTATGCTAAAACAAATTTCCTAGTGATTCCAGTACCTGGGAGTAGCTAAATTGTATGAGTAAAGGTTTGGAATAGCAGTAAACTGTCTCAATTTTTTGTATAAACCATTATTTTCAGAAAACGCAGCTGATGTTAATGTGAATTTGTTAACTCAAGGTCATCGCTCTCCAGAGGGGACCACTGCTTTGTCAAATAGGTACAAGGCTGCAACTGATTCTCACATTCTGGTGCCCTATCTCACAGTATCCAGGTCTCACGTATTTCATCAAGCTGCATTTTTCTTGTGTAAATTTTGTACCTTCAAACTTTCCAATAATGATTCAGCCTTGGCAAAAATTCAACTCTGGATCCGTGTTGCTAGCCTACGCACATAAGCACAAACACCATAGTCTAGTACTCTTCTTTTACTTTTATTTCGAAAGCATCAGAAAAGGGCAGCAACACATAGTAGTGATCGAGATTCACATATCGGCAGTTATTTTAAGAATGCCCGTGTCTAAGGGGAATGGGTAAAAATTTGCATTTTCGTCCCTTGAATCTTCTATGCTGCTGCAACAAGGCCTGTAAGTTTTTCAAGCCTTCATTTGTTTGCTTGCTTTCATCATTGAACATAACTAGTTCGATAAAACTATGATGTCCAAGCTATTAGTGTTGGGCTATAAACCCAGCCCTCCTAGCAGCTTGATGGATAACGTACGGTTATAGCCATTAAGTCGTTTATTGGTCTCTGATCATCCTCTGCCCTACGGTTTGATAGTACTTTTTAGTCATAAAAAATACTTAGTGTCATTGGCTTATGCCGACAATTGCAAGCACATTTTGATTAACATTTCCCAACATTATGGCCTTAAATTTTGGTTTGTGTTTTCTATGGATGCTCGAACGAACTATATGGCTGCTAATGGTCATAGTCTAGGCACTTTTATTCGGGATATTCAATTCATGATAACCAAATTCGCAAATGATTTTATCAAAGGTGATTTGTATCCTCATTTTATCATTATTTATCTCAATCAGTGTCACGCGAGTACTTCATCTAGCTTAATCATAGTTAACTTTAATCATATTTGCATTGTCAAGTTCGAATTTGTATGTAATTTTACAACTTGTTCTGACATAGTTGACTTATTCGGCATCACAAATTGTATGACACTCCGCAGTACTGAAATCCCACCTCATTTATGCAACCTATTCAAGCATCAGCGTGCTGTAAACTGTTAACAATGGATTCATTATTGTCCTAAAGTCTTAATTTAAAAGCAACGAAACAATGAAAAGGGAATCTTAGGTTTTGGCCAATTTAGTCAGCCATTGGATGAAGCACGTTGTACAGTTAACGGCTACCTGAAATTCATTCACTTTATTCTCTTGCTGAACGCTTTTTACCTACTTTGATCATTGTGCATGTATGTGTAACGTTTCACTTCTTTCCAGTTTTCAATACATTAAATTAAATGTTCAAAAACTGTATTTAAGGGCCTACTCAGGTAGCCTTCTACCATAAGAAGCAAAGCAGTTGATTATAGGTTAAGTATTCAAGTTTACAGGTGGAAGTTCGGTACGCTATGCAATGTTTAAGCTCCTTTTCTTTGTCCACTTAACATTTTGTTCCTCTTCAAACTAATGCCACGGTTTCATTGAGGAATTCTTTTATTTTAGCAAGGCCTCCCGATTCCGTTGCCCCGCTTAATCTAACCGGTACCGGTCAAATGCAAAAGTGCGTTTCTAAGATTTGCCTATGCACAATAAAACCAAAACGCTAGAAATTGGATCTATAGTTAAATTAGAATTGGCGTAATAGTTTAACAAGAATTGTTTATGTTTCTAGCATAAGGGATCATGATCTAGTTGTAATTTAATTCATGCAGTCAGTGTATTGGCCAGCAGCGAGTCAAGGGCGTCGTGTGTTGGGTCCAAATATCCAGTTGTTTTCTCTGTAGATTTTGCAATTAAAGGTGTGTAATCTTTTATGACCTTCGTCTGTCCTAGACAACTGAGTATCTGGTTTGATTTCCTACACCTTGTTGCTCGTTTTAGTGGGAAAATTTTTATGAAGTTGTTTTTCTTTCATTCAGTGGTGTTGCAGACTCGGTAATACAATATTTTGTGATAATTCACTACTCGGTACCAGAGCTTCCTTATTTGATCACTTTGGCGCCATCAATAGTGATAAAAAATAATTTCGGTACACTTTGAAAGTATCGCCTTCATGTGAATATACGCGTTTTGGAAGTTGAAAAAAAGGGGGGAGGGGGTTCCCGAGGTCGAATAATTAAGATAAACTAAATGGTGCAACTGGTAGAGTGGATCTACTTCTAAAACACTAGCAAATTTCAGCCCAAGCACCTCAGCTGCAGCTGGTATTCACTTCAATGTCTTGTTGGTCCTTTTTTCTACGTCTGAACGGCATGCCTCGAAGCTCAACATATCAAGCGGGTTTAATCATAGCAACTGAGATTGTCTCAAAATCCACTTAGGCAGATTCTCTTGCGTTCAAAAACTTTGGAATATTCAGATCTTTGTTAATGGTGGGAGGGTGAAGAATCGCTTTTTGGAGAAGTATATAATTGAAACTGCGTATTCTTCTGGAACCAACTTTGATTTTTGGTGTTGTTTCGCTAAACGGGTGCTATAGTACCACAAAGGGTTCCAATTCTTCATTATTTTTAATAAAACTGCAAATATTTCCGAGCCCCCTTTGGATTTCCATCTAAAATGCTTCAGTTTAGATGCTTTACGACGATTTAAGATGAGTACTGACTTAAAATAGGTAACGGCACTAGGTTTCCTTCATTTAGAGCACTAAACCCATCAAGTATTTTCTGCATCTGAAATTGTTGCAATTGCATCGATCACAAAATGCTACACATAAGAAATGTGTGATTTGACAACCGTTCAGAACATTAACCCTTGGTTGTAAATATCCTTTACGAGTTCAGTCACTGCATAGGCTACCAGGTAGCAAATATTCGGTTTGCGTACACACAGTTTGCACATTTCCCTTCCGCTAAAGAATGTAAGACTACTTCGCCAGCTATAACACCAGGCAGAGGCACTTCCGCTGTAAGTTCCCTTGAAATCTGTACTGTGTTTACACTACCAGAGAATTTCGTGTAGGGCTTTAATTCAAAGGTACAATGTGGTTCAAAACAACCCTTTGATCCATTTACCCCTGATTTGCACTGCAAACGGCTTGAGTAATTATTAGAGAGCCTTCGGATTTTCGATTACTTAGGCGTAAATAGGCGACAGTCCTTTTTTAACATCTCGACTACTGGGTTTCTTGACCTTTCGTTACTGTGTCTCAATACCTTTCTACGTACAAATTTTTAGTTTTGGTATGCTTCATTCGTATGAGAGGTGCATGCGAACCCCTATCATTCTTTTTAAGATTAAAAGTGGACGTGGCTTTCCAGGCATTTTCTAAAATAGGGTATCCGTTAATATTTCATCACATTACTGGTGCCACACTTAGTACATTACCCTTTCACTTACTGAGTAATAACTTCTGCCATATTTAGGCTCCTTTCTGAGAATCAGAGTGAAAGAAGAAAAGTCACTCCTTTCAGCGCGTCGCCGTGTAAGTATATTTCATGCCACCAAATTGCAACCTCATCTTTTACAAACTATCACTTATTTTAGGAAAAAATGTTAACTTATTTGCTAGATTATTCGATATATGATGTTCGTTGCAACCATTTCACAAGTTTGCTCTAAATAAAAATGTGGTAAACATTGGATAACCTTTTAGGGTTACTTGAATGGTTCTTAGGGGCACACTTTTTTACTCACTGATATACCCATCTTGCATAGTCTTTTGCTTTGATGATAAAGAATCCTTTTTGATTGTTGTGATTTCATGCGTTAGCCAGAACGCCATCGAAAAAATAGTATTCATTTTCCTATTTGTGCTTGCACGTAACTAATTTACATTGACTGGGTCCTTGCAGTGAATGAATTACCGGCATCAAAGTTATTAAATTCTGTTCCACTTCCAAAATATTTTCTTATTTGAGTTCTGGGCATTCCTCAAGGTTTTGTTATCAACATGCACTAAAGTCCGGCGAGTACAGATGCGAATCGTGGAGACTGAAGAACCCGCGCATTTTTATATGCAACTGTAATAGATGGGGGCTAGAAGTCTTGCTTTCTTTTAACTTCCATAATAGGTTCCGTCTCTAGTAACACAACTTTATAAGCGTGAAAAATTGTCACATTTCCGTATGGCATCACGGCCATTATGATGCTATTCTCCCATTTGCATCCCCAAACAGACCGAACACATCTTAGCAAAGTCTCCAATACACTCTTCTCTCACACACGAACCCTCTCGAGCGCCACAAGTCAAACGGCGCCAATCCTGCAGGGCTCACAGCAGGAGCTATCACCACTGAAGACCTTGGATTTGCCGACGCACGTCAACACCACGACGGCAATGGGTCGGCGGCCCGAGCAGTGCCACTCACGGGAGCGTGCATCTTACGGGGGTACCCCTGGAGGGGCGGAGCTCTTCGGTCCGACTGAGGAGGCCCTCCGCAGTCCCCCCTCCGCCACTACCTACAACAGTGACATGCTGACCACTTCTAAGATCTCCCTCCCCTCTCCCTTCAGTGGTAGCATTCAGTCCCCCGAGAATTTCAACGTCATTAAGAGTGTAAGTTCATATATTTAAGTGGCTGGCCTTTTGACTGAAAACATTGTCAGGCTCATTGACTGGTTCATGGTATCCCGACTGTGGTTTCAAAACCTCCGTTAACTGGGAACGGTTTCTTTTAAGATATCCAATGTGAGTCTCCCATTGTCACAACAAACAGATCCATGTTACTTCAGACTACACCCACCGATGTCCAATTTCCAGGTTGAGAAGCTATGATTTTGATCCGAAGCAGTGCAATGTTCTTTCTCATTATTTTGATTTGGTATGAACTCCGTGTACCGGCAATTGTTTTTGATAAGTCATCAGATTTTTTTGGGCTAGTACCATGTAAGACCGGTCAAGATGCTTCATTTTCCTATTTACCGGCTTCATAATGTCTTCTTCGATACTGAGGTTTTAGATGGACGAGGCGAAGAAACAGCTCTCGTCAGCCCTAATGCAGTCAAAGACGAGTGTGGTGAATTGGTGGGTGGAGCAGACCATTGGCTCCGCCCGTCTTCCTAAACCTGCGGGATCCCTCTCCCGCAATCCCTCTAGTGATATGGACGGCGCCTCTACGACCTCCCCCAAAATCTCCTCAGAAATGATCCCGTCCTCCCGTGAACACAACGAGCACGATTTGATTGAGGTCATGAATTTATGCTGTGCTGCCTGTTATTTTTAATACATTTCGGGAAACCTAACGGAACAGTGAAATGGACAGTTCTAATCTCCGAATATTCTACTCACTGACGCACCATATCACAGAAATCGCCTTATTATCGATAAATACAGATTCATTTCATGATATTCCCAAATTCCAATAAATTAGCAACTATTTTGATAGTGCCATATTTTAGAAATTTTGGCAAACTTTTACAACATAGTATAGACTATCAGTATCCTTCGTTTTTCTCCTTCAGATATTTGTTAGCATATTCTAAGACGGCCTATGCTGCAGGTATACTTGGTGTTCATGAAATAATCGTTATCGAAATCGAAACATATCGGCATCATTCATTTATTCACGGCACAAGGTTAACTTTTTTACAAATTTGACTGAAAATTAAGTCCTTGGGGATTTTGGAGTTTGGGGTTCAATGAATTATCTCTGCCAAGATAATGAGGCAATATCCATATTTGCGTGGATGCTCTTGATTGTGTAAGGCACTAGGCGATACTATTCTAACTTCTCTCAGTAAACGTAAACATTGTCTCTCTACCTAGTGCATGTTTGATTTTTTGATCGACACTCTGGATGGCGGTGATTCGCTGCAATCATTGAATCGCCTTCTGAAATCCACCATCCGAAACGCCACGGTTACGCCAAATCCCAAGTCATGCCACGCACCTACGCTGGGCAGTCTTCCACGACGAATCTCCACCTCCTTCTCCTTCGACAAGGTCCAGCCAGTTTGCGAGTTCACCTTTGTCGCCGTGATCAGTAGAATCCTGCAGCAGCAGAGGCTCACTATTCAGCCAGGGGTTAGTGAGATGACATTCCCCGAAAATGTGATCCAACAACTTGTGGCCTTTATTGAAAGGGCCTGGTACGTTGTCACTCGCAGATTGCCTGAACCCCTCAGGGACGGTGGTCAGTGCCAGAAGAAACCGCATGAAATGCTCACTTGGATTACATTGATCAATGATATTGCTGGAAAGGCCATCGATCAGCTCCCCTGTAAGCCTATGTGAACGATTGTAAAAGTGTTTGCACTTTCAAACTTCCCACCGCAGAGCATAGGATATCTCTGTATTAGAATAAAAAGTATTTGGGTTTCATGAAAGTCCACCCTTGAGTTGGCTAATTTGCTATTAAATAACCTATGTTTGCAATGGGATATATTTTCACTTATGCAAATAATGCACCCCTAGTTCCAGTTATCTGTGCGCCGAAAAAAAATGCACTGAAATTCATTAAAATTCAATCTGTAATCAGGAGAACGAGAAGCCAAAGAGAGTTCCTAAAAATTAACGCATTCTCATCATTGAATGCCAAGACTTCATAGTCTTTCAAACTGGTCGTTATCATCGCCAAGTTGCTAACATTACCTTATCTCAATATTGCCTTAATACTTCTTCTCTGTGAACAATCTACTTTCGCACAATTAACTTTATGAATGAATTAAGTTAGTCGGTTTATCACTTTAATGTTTTAACCCGGAGTAAAATAAATTCCTATGCGTTCAACAGAGCGCGACAAGCAAATTCACTTGAAAATAAACCATACTGTGATACATCATTTGCTTGGATCGTTTTGTATTCTTTAGTGCAAGAGCAATCTACTGTTCTTCGGCGCACCAAGACAATAAGTGCTGGTCAGCGGATGCATCTGGAGCCAAGTCGCCACGCACCTCTGCGAGTGCGAAGCTTCGTTCCCCCTCAGGCCCCAACAACATTCTTTGCTACGGAAGGCACGGTCGCTTCGCCATGGTTGCGCCCGACACGCCACGTGCAGATTGTGTCGCCGAGCGCCTTGCCTGACTCCGGACAGGCCTCCGTATTGCAGGAGTCCTCCACGCCAGCCTCATTGATCTCACCGGCCGATTCGCAGCTGACTGGCGCCGACTCCGATGAAGTCAGCTACACCACGAATCGCCGAGCCTCCGATCAAACCTCCCCTGCTCGTGGCCTTATCGGGCGCCGTACACAACTTCGTCGCAACGCCTACCCGCTGCGCTATGTGAAACGCGCCATCATGCCACTCAGCGGCACCTCCTCGTCCAATTTGGAAAGACGTCACCAGCATAGCCATGACACATCTGAACTGAGCGATTTGAAGTACATCAATGCCCAGTATGTCATTGCGTGACCTTTCGTACCGATGTTTCCTCAGATGGAAGCATATATTCTATCCGTATGGATGTGTGTGGCAGCAAAATAATCAAACGTTGGCAGATTCATGCATTGCTATTTTTTCGAGTGGCCGGATTCAACTCACCCATACGAATTTATTTGAAACCATGTAGAACCATTTTCTTGAACTATAGTACGCAGTTACCAACGCATTTTCACATTCAGGATATGTGTTTGATCCATTTTCGTGAAAGCGTTGTGAGACGGAAATGCGGTAACCGATCAATGATGCTTTACGGTATCACTTCAACTTTGTGAATTTGGCCTTTAGAGATTTCGGGTAGTCAGATAGTCTGATTATCACTTTCTCCTAAGATCTTACTATAAACCTTTTATTGAGGTTCTTCACTGTAGTTTTTATCTTCGTGGTAAAAAAAAATCCGTAATATAAAATGTGAAGATTGTTTTGTAAAACAGCAGAATTATATCATGCACAGTATTTATTTCATGAACGAAGTTAAGCTACAATGTGTAGGTTGGGTGTGGATTTCGAGAAAGTAATATCGACACATTGGAAATCCTGCATGTTTGATCACAATAATAATGGGATAATTCGACACATACGAAGAGGCTTCGTGGAAGCATCATGTAAGTTGACGGATATTCCATGAAATGATCAGGACTCTGGCTCTGGCCTGAAGAATCCGTCCCTGAATATTTTATATTTCCAACCACCCGACTAAACTGGATGTATAGGGGGTGTGTATCCAAATGTATCAAAATGCCTTCTGTTCAAATTTTTTTTCTATTTCGTCTATTTCTTTAAGAATCACCGAAGAACTGAAGGAAGTAACTCGGAATTACAACCAACTACTTCAAAGTGAACTTGAAAGGAGGGAGGCTTATATCGCTGCGCTAGAACGACTCGCGTGAGTTTACTCAGAGCACCGCGGTAATTTCTACGATCAGTTTCTGATAATATCTACCGAGCTATCAGCTTCACGTCGTTTATGATCTGTACAAATGTCACTTGTTTCGTAAACTTTTTTCACAAATAGCTTGATGAAAGCTGCTGATTTGTATCGCGCTTACAAGATGCCAATTTTGTGCTTACTTTAAACATAAAAGTGTATTACGATACAAAAGCAGCTGTTTATGCTCTAGATCCATCGGGGAACTAATTTCTATTTTTACCAACATCTTCAGCAAATCTTCATTATCTTTGACCGACGCACTTGCACTGCCCGCTCTCGGTGTTTACGGGGGAGCCCATACCTATGCAGGGATCTCCACTGGATTTCCTTCCCTTGTAGAGTGGCTAACCGAACTTGAAATCCCCATAAGTGACATTGAACAAGTAGGCTATTCCTTTAATCCCCATATTACTGCATGAATTCTGGTAATGCTTTACCGTCTTCATTACATTCAGATTACCAATCACCAAATCGACCAGGATGACTTCCTCGAGTTGATTACAAAGGACGATCTCTGGAGGCTGGGGCTCAGGCAAGTAACGGAGGTTAAAAACGCTCTTATAGGCTTTTCAACAACGATAAGCTAACCTAAGCCATGTTCCACTGAGCATTCAATTATTTTTTAAAGGATGATTTAAGACAGAAGTGTCTGGACGAGATATTGGGAGTTTGGCGCGTATAAAATGCTTCAAAACATCTAGTATTGCATTTCATATATGAATGAGCGCGAATACGAATATAATAGTTGTTAACGCTTTACACTTTTGTTCCACATAGTTGATATCAAGTATTCAGTACTCCGCTTTGATTGAGGCAGTTTTCTTGACTCGCTCTGAAATTGTTAGTTATTACTACAAAAACATACGGATAGCAAAGTGCATACATAAAACTTTTTATAGAATTGATTGGGACCACGAGTTGCGTGACTGATTCGTAGTATTTCATACTTTAGGGGTGGGTCTGTGCTGCGAATCTGGGGCGCAGTCTGTAAACTGCGGAGGAAATTTTTATCTAGTCAAAGGAACAAGGAGACCAATGAATCGCCTCAGTCCGAATTCCTATGACCGCGCCTCCTGTTTTTTGTGCGTGTGTGATAAAACCTAACGTATTTTTGTTTTTCTTTTGTATAATCAGTAACATCAAAGGTTTTTAGGATACCACATGTCTCCTACTTTGGCTTTTATATGAGTGTTTACTCACCTAAGTGATGTGGACAAATTTAGCTGTCAAAGTAACAAAAGACAGCCTCACAATAAGTCTGGATTATACTTCAGTAAAGTTGTGGCAAGCTAGTCTCATTGAATCGCAAATACTCATGAATGCGGAAGAGGTACTTTAAATAATTAAATTGAGAAGGCGAGAAAGTTCCAGTAATTTCGCTGGAAAAAAGTGCTGAAAGCCACATCTCGAGACCTACCCACTCGCTATCCATCATCGGCGTCTCAGATTTACCAAATGTATCAATCGCTTCAAACATGAATCTTGACGTTATAAGGAAAATGATTTCATGCTAAGGTTGAAATGAATGAGAGTGTATTGACTTTACTGTTCTGTAAAATCTAGGTTGAGGGGTCATTAGGTTTTTGTTAGTCTAACTCTTTCGACTGCAATCATTCCTATATGAGATTGCCAACTACATTGCCTAAAGAAATTGGGTCTCGCACATTTATTAGCTAACTCACCTGTAGCGCTCAATGGAACTCCACCCTGTACAGAATTGTATATCTACTTGTGCCACCTACTTCCATTATTTCGACATGAATCACTCATCACTATTCCACGATTACTCCAATGGTAAAGCGTTTTGATATCCTGCCAAAGAACAACATTATTGACGGAATCGGTGGTTTGTGAGGCTTTTATTTTTGAGAAAGATTGATTACATGTAACCGTAGAGGAGCGGTATCGGCTATTTGTAATTTTTTCTCAGAACTTTCTATCCATGAAGTTATTGGAAAAGGGATCAAAATGATTGAAAAGCCAAGTATTGTGAAGCATAAAAACAGTTTATTTACTCATAACCTTATTTGGAGTTAATGCCTTCAGAAAGCTTATCCACAGTTCATGGAAGAGCTCTATCACATTTGCTAAAAGCTGACTGAATGCAGCATGGTTCAGCCTCTATGAAGGTAGCGTAGCCTAACGGTGAGACTGATATGGGAACATTATTCAGTTTGACTAGTACCAGTACTATCAATAGGCTTCTCAACAGTATCAATTAGTAAATGAAATGGAATACTTCTGATAGAATAATCCATACGAATGAATTCGAGTCACCAGAGAACCTATGGTCGTGCTATACAGAAAAAAGTGACAGTAAAGTAGTTTTTTACCGTTTAATCATGAGCACAATCGGGAATGGACATTTGGCATACTTTGGAGCGATATGTCAAAGCTTCGAATGCAGAAGTACCTGATAACCTCGCAAAACAATGCCGTAAAAAGTTGTGCTTCACTCGGTCCGAATTTTGCTGACCGCGAAAATGCTTTAAAAATGGTTGAACCAGTAAAGTTTTCCACTTAGGTCAAAAAATCGCCGTAATATGGACGACTTCAATGATTATTCATCAAGATTTAGTAACGAGGGCGGAACAACCGAGGTGGAGAATAAAAGCAGGCAACATAACCACATTATCAATGGGTTTTGTCGGTAAGGTAGTGTCACGAAATTCAATCCTGTTGGGGGATACGCAAAATGTCCTCCAATGCGATATGTTCCAACAAGACTTGCCACGCAATTTCCACCAGGCAAATACCAAGGCAATTTTAGGGAAAAGAGGATTTACCAAAAAAAATAATTTTCCACTCTGAGACTGGTTTCCTGTGTAAGAAGAAGAGTTACAATAACAAGAGTGGACAGAGTGCAAAACCGTTTAGAGCATTAGGAATAGGTTAATGAAACACCCCATACTTCGCATTTACAGATTGTACTTTATTTTTTCAAAGAAATGATCGCAATTCCGGATATTTCAGGATATGAATAGGGGTTCAAATCTAATTCATATATTTTTATCGTAAGCACGATAGGAAGAAAGTAAAACAGAGCTTCCCAAGTGAAATAAAAGTCGCTAATTTGACTGCAGGCAGTATCAGCCAGAGTGGATTTAAGCGCCGGTGGCATCACAGCTGCCACAACGTCAATTTTGCAGCAAAAGAATGGCTCAAAAGGGACGTACACATGAAGTCCCTCATTATGCTGAGTGATCAGGATAACTGAAACTATTGGCTAAAAAAGCGTTCGGGCTCCTTCATTTAAAACGTCTTGTTTGCTTCAGTGATATTACTCAATTGATTCTGGTTGAATGTAGTGAAGATTCCAAGCTATTTCAGGATATGCCTATTGACAGCAGAGAGCTCCTAACTACCCGTAGGTGTGCACTATCCAACAAATAAGAAAGCAAACCCAAAAAGCTATTTTAAAATTTAATTAAAGAGAATCGGTAACTTTGTCTTTTTACCACTCAGCAAAGGCAAAAACTAAAAGTGGAGGGGTGTTTTAACCAAAAGCATCAATGGGAGAAGCGGTCAATACCAGATAGACTTGTTTTGTAACAACTAAGCTGTACTGAATTTTCCAAGCATGCCTGTAAAACCATCAACTAGAAGGTAACCAGCAGAGTTCGTAGGGCGTTATTATGGGAAATAAATAACTATAGAATATATAAAGTGAGTTATTCATTGCAATGCCCACCATTAGAATCTGCAACATTTTCCCAAGAGAAACACGCTTGCAGATTACACTTAAATAACGCCTTTTGCCCTCAAAAGCAAGCAGCTTAGCCCCAACTACCCTCGTTACTGTCTAATCATCTAAATGTCAAGACGGCAAATAGCACTCGGGGAAGTATCATCGAGGTCATATGGGCAGATCTTCCGTGGATCCTGCCGTCTAACCTCCTGTTGTCTTTTAGAAATAGAACTTCCAACTGACCGACTGATCAATTCGGGTTGCTTTTGAGGCCTTCTCAAACAAGTAAAGTTCTACTGGGTGGACTTCAAGAGTGATTGATGGGCCTTCGGCAAGGAACAAATAAGGGAAAA